GCGTTTGGCTTTTTTGTTACTTGCCACCATGGGGTGGAGAGGGGGGGGCTAAGCCATCGCATAGAGGGCTTGGCAGGGAGGCCAAACTCAGTCGGTGCAAAACAGCAGCACCTAGAAGCTGGTGAGAAATGCACGTTCCCAGGCCCCCTTACCAGATCGACGCAATCTTTGATGCAGGTTGACTATGTTACCTAAGCGCTCTGAGAGCACATTCTAATCCATCAGTCCCGTAAGGTGTTGGCTTGAACAAACAAGCGTATTCTCTCACAGTTTAGGAGGCTAGATGTCCAAATTCAGGCACCCCCTCACCGGGTCTAGAAGTTTTCTGACACAGGGGTCCTGGGTTCAAAGGGCAGATGCTCTACTGCAGCTCTTCTTCCCCGGTGGTAGGAGGTCCTTGGATCTCAGTTGTTGTTAGATGCCAGCGCACAGCGACCCTATGTCCAACAGAAGGAAACACCGCCCAGTCCCATGCCATCTTTGTCATTGTTCTTCTGTTGGAGCCCATGGCTGCAGCCACGATATCAACCCATCTTGGTGAGGGTCTTCTTTATCACTGTCCCTCTACTTTAGCAAACTTGATGTCCTTCTCCAGGAACTGGCTATCCTGATCACATGTCCAGAGTACGTGAGCTGACGTCCTACCATCCGTGCTTTGATCTCAGTTCACTTTGATAATCCTTTTTTTATCTCAAAAGACATTGAGTCAAGATATAACCTCACCCTCTCAATTGTATCCTCCCTCCTCAACTAACTGCCACACAGCCGGCCTCATCAGCGCCCTAGAGGCGGGCGTTTACAACATGTAGGATAATTACATCAGGTCATCAAATGGAGGGTGGTTTCATGATACTGGGAGTCATGGCCTAGCCAAGTTGGCACACATTTTTGCGGGGTGGGGGCCACAGTTCAGTCTATAACACAGGTTCAAGTTTGAGAAGCACAGGTCAGACTGGTCAACCTCATGTGGATCCTGACCTTGTAGGAGAACTTGAATAGTGTCCAAGTTTCATCGTCAAGACATGGTAGCTGAGGGAGGTGTACTGGGTGAGAGGGAAGTTCGGCCACCATTTTTGCACAGGTCTTGGCCCAGTCATTGTTGAGTTGGCTCCAACTTGTGGAGGCCCCGTGGACAATGGAACAAAATGTTATCTGGCCCTGGGTTGTCTTCATGTCAGGTCTCACACGCACCTCCCTATGGCCCCAAGGTTCTAGCCCTGGGCATGCGGACAGTTAGAAAAGGGCCTTCCAGGCCCACACTTGTTTGAGAAGGGCCTAAGGAAAAGGGTCTGGATGGCTGATTTATGCTGTAACATCACTGAAAGTAGAGGCTCACTATGTAGTTCTGTAATTGGGATTAGCTTGTTGGTTGTTTACTTACCATGTTTTGTAACTTCCTAATGGCTACTTTCAACTCCCCAGGCCGGCCTGGCAGGTGTTTCTTTTATTTGTCAAGGAACAAATCTATCTCCCTTTCTAATCCCTTCTGAGCACAGGCAGTGGTTTGCTTCTCTGCCCCCCATCCCCCTTGACAACCAAATGCTATTTATCAGAATGTGAAGAAACATAGGAGGTCCCCAATGGCATAAGACCAATTTAGTATCGGATTGTGCAGTGCTGGAAGGGACATAGTTTTTCTTGCAGAAACGAGCTTTCTTTTTCTCCTCAGTTTGTTGGTGACGGGGAAAGAGAACAAACCGAAAACACACCTAAACATTTTTTAAAATCATTTTATTGGGGCTCATACAACTCTTATCACAATTCATACATACATCAATTGTATAAAGCACATTTGTACATTCATTATCTTACCTAAAATGTTTTTATATAATTATTAAAATATCCAAGAAACACGGCACATGTGAAGGAGGATAAAGGACCCCTGAGGGATGGAGATGACGTTTCTTACCCTGCTCAGCTGGTGGTCTGTCTCCTGCTGTCTTGGGGTATTCTGTAGAGAAACAGAACAAGAAAGATATGCGATAGATGATAGATAGACAGATAGATAGATAGATAGATAGATAGATAGATAGATAGATAGATAGATAGATAGATAGATGATGGATGGATAGATGATAGATAGATGGATAGATGATAGATGATAGATAAATGGATGGATGGATGGATGGATGGATAGACAGATAGATAGATGATAGATGATATAGATGATAGATGACAGATGGATAGATAGATAGATAGAAGATAGATGGATAGATAGATGATAGATAGATGGATGGATGGATAGATAGATAGATAGATAGATAGATAGATAGATAGATAGATAGATAGATGTTGATTGATTTGCTCCAAGGGATTGGCTCATTCAATTGTGCCAAATCCAAAGCCAAAGGTCGGGTGGCTGAGTGGAGAGTCCTACAGTCTTGTGTTCCAAGGTTCGTGGGTTAGGGGAGAAGGACGATTCAGAGTTGAAAGAGAGCGATAACAAGTTCTAACTGAATAGCTATTTAAAGTCTGCAGGCAGACTACACTCTGAGGAAATTCCCTTTCAACTGACTGATTACATGCTAAGATTACATTATGGAAATTGATTAGGTTGTGCCACTTTACAATGCATTATGTAAATTCATTACATCACATCACATTGTAGCGTACTACGTTCATTACATAGTATCATTGCATAGTATTATGGAAGGCCATTGCATTGCAGTACATTACAGAACAATAGCTAGTCAAGAGTTTGGCAAAACCACTTGGAATCTTAGCTATCCAAGTGGATACAGAAGTATCCATCATATCTTCCATTGTGAGCTTGGGGGTAAATCTGTCCACTTCCTTTAAGGTTTGTTTGGACTTTTGCACAGTGCCTCCATCCCTGATCAGATTTCAACAACCCAGGTCTCTCAGGCTGACTCTCACTCCAGTTGCTGTAGGACCGGGCTTCCTGGAAGTCTCTACACTGTTTCACTTACCCCGTTCTCTCGTTTTCACCCCGTTTCCACAGAGCCCGCCTGCACCCAGAGGGAACCCCTTTTTCTTACTGGTCCCACCAGGAGCCTACTTGCTGTCTAGCCTTCAGCTCTCAATCTCTCTATTGCCTCTTTCTCTCCTAACATGGGAGGCCGGGTAGCTCGTTGAGGATAGCAACTGAGGATAGCATTTTCATTCCTGTTGTTGTGAATGGACATCCAGTGGACTCTGACTCACAGTGACCCTAACAGGGTAGAACTGCCCCTGTGGGTTTCCAACACTAACTCTTTACAGGAGCAAAAGGTCTCCTCTTTCTCCCCAGGAGCCGCTCGCTGGTGGTTTCGAACTGCTGACCCTGGGGTTAGCAGTCCAAAGTGTGACCACTATGCTGCTAAAGCTCCTTTGGTCAAGTAGAGGTTGAGCAGATGGATTGACACCATCGTTACCACAGCGGGCTCGAACATAAGGACACTTGTGAGGGTGGTGCAGGACCGGGCTGTGCTTTGTTCTCTTGTACACGGGGTCTCTATGAGCCGGAAGCCCCACTCCACGGCACCTAAGGACGATCGTGAGAGGACAGACATCCAAATCCTTCAGCTTCATGCAAAGGCTGCCTCCTCCGTGAACAGCCCCAGCCGACGGACTCCTTCCCTTCTGCAGTGGGTGTCAGCA